AGTAACAGCCACATTGTGTGATGACTAACTTTGATAGACTTAGCTCTTCTCATCAATGCAAAGATCTAAGGCATCTCCAAAAGTCTCACAAGGGAAAATGCTATCCACATCCAGAGAAAGAACCATGGAACCTGAATGCAGATGGAAGCAGACTATTTGCTTTCCTTTTCTTTTGTTGTTTTATTTGGTTTCTTCTTTCTCATGGTTCCTCCCATCAGTTCTAATTCTTCTTTAAATCATGACTAATGTGAAAATATGTTTAATATGAATGTATAAGTAGAGCTACATCAGATTGCACACCATCTTGGGACAGGGGGAGGAGAGGAAGAGGGAGAAAATTTAATACTCAAAATCTTATGGAAATGAATGTTAAAAACCAAAATTTAATTAATTAATTATATTTTTTAAAAAGATGCAGCTGTTGTCAGTTGGCTTTGTCCAAGGATTTCTGAGTTTTGTTATGAGGCAGGTTTCAGAGTTGTTACTAATAATCTTAACAGCAACTTATAGTTACTAATAGACCATTTATCAATTGGGGAATGACTTGGATTCTTATAAATTTGACTCAGTTCTCTATATATTTTAGAAATGAGACCTTTATCAGAAACACTGGCTGTAAAAATTGTTTCCCAGCTTTCTGCTTCCCTTTCAATATTGGTTGCATTGGCTTTGTTTGTGCAGAGCTGTTAACTAATAGTTACTAATAGCCCAGGCCTGCCTGAGCACTGAGAGGTAAAAGGACTTGCCCAGGATCACATAGCCACTGGCTGTCAAAATTAGGACTTGAACCCAGTACTGCCCCGTGCTGGTAGGTGCTTAATAATGGGCTCTTCAGGGGCCATGGGCACTTTGAAGTTTAATCCATATTACTGACATTTTCTCCATCACTTTCTTAAGTCCAGACAATCAACAAAACAATAACTGAAACTGTGCTTTGTAGTGTAGTGTTTGCTGGCTTCAACAAGGTGCAAATGTTCACACTGAAAATTTAAGGAGCAGCTCTCCAGGGCTGGTTAGCCAGCAAACCCTGGAACCCAAGTCTTCCACACTCCAAGACCAGTCAGCCAGCCATTATTCCATGCTGACACCTCAAAAAATCCTATTTTTAAATTTAAAAAAAACAAAACTTGTCTCCCTAAACGACCTTGGGCCGAAAAGCATGGACCTAGGCAGCATAAAGGAGGGAGTCAGGAAGACCTGAGTTAGAATCCAGCCGCAGTTGTACTGAGTGACCCAGGGTGAGTCACTTAACCTGTCTCAGCTTCCTCATCTGCAGAATGGGTATAATATTATCCCCTACCTCCCAGGGTTGTGTGAGAGGCCACTGTGCCCCCATCAATGTGTACAGAGCTTGGCAAACCTGAAACCATGCTGGACAAGTGTGAACTACCCCCAAACCTGGAGCTTCCCCGGGAATGGCGAAACCCGCGGCATGTGGGAGTCATGGAGTATGCGATGGAAAGGGACAGTTCCAGAGAAAAGGGGCGAGGGGAAGAGGACAAGGAGAACAGCAAGGACTCCGATAGAGATGGAGCAGACAGAGAGGTGAGGGACTGGGGGTGAATCCGCAGGCAGACGTCTCCCGGGGTAGCCAGGGAGGGAAGTTTTTGTTATCAAGGTTTCATTTGCATTTGTTGTTCAATGGGGTTCAAGGGGCCAAGTGGGAGAGAGGGAAAATGAATGTTGGTTAATTGGGGAAATGGCTTTAAAATCTTCTTTAAAACAAGTACAGTAAATGGGATTTTGGGCGGCAGCTCGGCCTCTCTGGGCCGGCTCTCAATGAGACAAGCCCCAGCCTGGGAGCTGTGCCACCCCCGCCTCATTGCGGCCCAGGACGGGCGTTTCTCCAGGCCCCATGGGCTGAGCCAGAGGCTGAGGCGCGGGCCCGCCTGGCCAGGGAGGTCTCTTGTACTCACCAGGATGGTGACGCCCTCCCTATAAACCTGCAGGAGGTGAAGGCTCAACATGACTGCTCTCTCTCGCTCCCAGTCCTTCTCTGAGTGTAACCACTTCTCAAGGAGCTGCCAGAGGGAGGGAGGTAAGAACACAAGGGAGAAGCCCTGAGAGCCTGGAAAACTGCGGGGCTTCCCCAGCCTTCCCTGGGGAAAGGCCCCCTCTGAGCCTGGGACAGTCTCCCCTACACTTAGCCATGAAGGGCCCTCAGACTGCTGCTAGGAGCAAGCTCCTCCCATGGCAGACCATTCTGTCCTCCAGGAACTATGGAAGCTCAGCCAGAAGGACAGAGAGCTTTGGAGGCTCCCCCCCCGACCCAAGATGCCCCACTCACGGCCACCACGGAGGGCGGCTTCTGTGGCAAATGGGGAGAGGGGCTCTCCAAGACACTCACGTGGAACGCCTCTTGGAGGCCCTTGGGGTCCAGCTCTCTTTCCAGGAGGCTTTGCATCAGCCTCATCAGGGCATTCATGGAGTTCTCGTACAATGTCTGCGACCAAGAGAAGAACGGCATGGGGGTCATGACACCCATGAGGAGACGACATGACCGTAGGGTCCCTGTGTCTGCTCAAGCCAAGGGAGAACAGCAGAGGGATTGGGAGGGAGGCTGCCCCCCAAGGCTCCACGGAGAAGTCACTGAAATGCTTGGAGCCTCAGTTTCCTCCTCTGTGAAATGAAGGGGTTCGAGGAGATGATGCTGGGGTCCCTTCCAACTCTCAGGCTATGACCCAGGGAATTGAGGCCAGCTGAAGCCGGTGAAGCCTGACAATTAGATTATTCTTTGCCTGATCGACCATAGGAGTAGACACAGAGAAGAGGCTGGAAGGAGACCTGAGCCAGCTTTGCCTTAACTGCCATGACCAGTGAGACAGAGGAAGGTGGTCAACAGGGCCCCCCTCCTCCCCAGGCTGCCTGTGGGGAGTTCTCAGAAAAGTACCTCTGGTCTGGCCCGGTCTGCCCTGCACCTGCCATTGTCCTGAGACTCTAAGAGAGGCGTGTGGGCTCTCCCTGTGGCAGGCCAGGGCACCTGGGGGCCCCCATTATCTCCTTGGCCTTCCCTCTGTGGCTCCCTGTGTGAGCTTCTCTGCGAAGGTTTTGTTCATTGATATAAACGGCCGCAGGTTGGTCATAGGATCAGAGAGTCCCAAAGCGCTGGTCACAGGGTCAGCAATGGGTACAACCTGGGTAACACCCCCCCCCCCAGCCCTTCCCCATGGTCTCAGGTGTGCCTGGAACCAGGTCAAGGAGCCTAATGTAGCCTAGGCCTCAGGCACTGTAACAGCCAGAAGATGGGAAGTGCGATTCAGGACCAGGTCAGCACAAACCTCCACCACTGAACAGATGAGGAGGCCTGAGAAGAGCTCACCTTGACCTGTTCACTGTCCTCTCCTGGAGGAGGGAGAGGGAATACACACTGGACACTCCTGTCCATCAACTCGTGGTTTTCCTCAAGGGTGAAAGGAGGCCTTAGTTTGCTGGGGAAAGCAAGGGAGAGTGAGGAGCTCAATGCTGGCCCAGCAGAAGCCCCACCCCTAGACAGGGTCCCATTGTCCAAAGACAGACTGAAAAAAGATGGAATGGCCAACTTCCCATCTCAGGGCAGGACTGCACCCTCAGTTTGGTGCAATTCAGCAAACCTTTTTTGGACACCTACTACATGCAAGACAGCTTGCTGGGTGAGCCTAAGAATGAGAGGCCATGTGATCTACATTGGGTCCTCCAGCTAGTGAAAGGAACACCGCATGGTTTAGAACCCTGATCCACAGCCAGCAAGGAGGAGCACGGCCTGGTCTAGAGCCCCAATCTACAGCTCCTGGTGCTGTGGATCCTGCCTCAGACACATCCCAGATGCTCAACTCTGGGAAAGTCACTCAAGCCCTATGTGCCTCAGTTTCCTCACCTGCAAAATGAGGAGGTTGGACTTGTTAGCCTGTATGGCCATTTCCAGCAATAAGTCTATGATCCTACATCTCTGATTTCTCATTCCCACTCTTCACTCTCCCCAGCTGGCTTACCCTGAATCCCAGCATCCTCCTGGCCTCTCCTCAAGAACTTTCCTCCCTCAGGCGGCCAATCTGGCCTAACCTGTTTTGTTTGCGTCTTGGTCTGCCCAAAGCACAAGGGCTGCACAGGGCTTTGAACATAGTAAGCACTTAACGAATGGTCACTGAAGAGAGAGAGGTGGCTGGGGAAGAGAGTGGGAGGAGAGGAGAGGAGAGAGAGAGAAAAGGAGCAG